AATTAAGAAGAGATACGAGAAAGGAAAAGTAATGAAAAAAGTATTCAACAACAAGGACTTGCAGAATCCAACGTAAGCTGCACTTATTGAACAAATCCAAATCAGACTTGAACGAATAAAAAAGTATTAACAGAGGCACGGTCCACAATGCAAAATACTAGGGGCATCAGGGGCTTAAGCAAACTTGTTGAAAGCCCAACTATTTTTGGAAAATTAGTAGTAAGGAGGTAGTCGATTGAGCCAGTGTGCACAGCGATAGAATTATGAGTTGGAAACCGGGAATAAGAGCTCTTTTGTAAATAGGACAATGTATGTTAAAGCCTCCACGCCTAGAGCTAACAGGTCTAAGAATCCAAAACCTGTTACCTCTCAAATCAACCTCTTTTCGCAGTATGCGATAACAAAAGACTAAGTCAGCCATCATCCTCCTATTTATCAGCGATTTCAATCCAAGCAGTCTAAAGCCCTGGCCATACGTACAGCGATTTCATCGTCGCGATTTCATCGCCGAAGAATTTTGTGATTGTAGCGACGAAATCGCGACTATCAAATCGCTCATCGCGGGTTCTGGACATACCTACCTGTTCAGCGATAAGGTGAAAATACACACCTCAGCACTCGTTCTACGTTTTCTTTTGCCATCCAAAAGCAGTATTTAGCGTGATTTCTTTACATCTGCAGATTTTTTTTGTCTTTTTTCGACACCAGTACTCCAGCACCAACATTTCATATTAGTTCGCGCATTTACATCTTCATTCAACTTTTCGTGTTAGATACAGGATGCAAAAGCAATTTTCTCAAGTTGTAGCTGCGGTTTTGCTGATTTTTCGCGAAATTTAGATACCTAAATACTACGCATGTTATTCAATTACGAGTTTCGAACAATTAAAAATATTCTTTGACTGATGGCACGAATTAGAAAAGACGCGCATCACAACACGACAGAAGTGCAATTGCGAAGTGCAAAAGGAAATCTGCATCACATTTCAACATCACCGCAGAAAAAGCAAGTCGAAAAGGAAAAGAACTATTTCAAAAACCTTCAGGGAAGAAATCCAATTCCAGCGATATCGCCCCGTCGCAGGTTTCAAACTTGCGACGCGATATCGCAAGATTTCAGTCAAATCGCGGCGATATCGCTGGAATAGGTATGGCCTAGGAAAACACGGTCAGCGATCCGTCGCGGCGGACAGCTAGCACGACCGATACACATAATTTGGCGGCATGAAACAGGGGTATTGCAGTTGTCCGATTGCACAAATCGCATCGCGGTGATTTTTTGACGGTATGGCCAGGGCTTAAGGAGTTCCTCATAAGATGAGTGTCTTCTCTAGATATACTTCGCAGTTTGCGATAGAGGACCATTTCGTAAATACTCGCTGAATCTTTTCAAGTTTTAGGGCCTCTTTTCTACATGAGGGGTTCCATACCTGGGAGCAATACCTCAGATGAGAAAGCACACAGCTTTATGCAGTCTAATGAGAGTGTTTCCACCACATGTATAAAGGTTTCGAAAAATAGCAAACAGCGAAGAGTACGCTCTTTGCACAGCATAATCAATGTGTTTAGTAAATTTCAGTTGGAAATCAACCAAAACACCAGTTCCGTGACCGATAAACACACTGTTAAAACAGAATCATTCACTTCATAATCGAAAGGTCTTATTCTCCCAAAATGCAGAAAGAAGCACTTGCTGGAATAAGAGAAAGATCATTACGCATTGCTCACCCGCATCTTTCAATGGATGATTGAAGTGCAGCATGCATAGCATGATGATTCTATTCTTCATAGCAGACATACAGCTAAATGTCGTCCGCATAAATCTGTATACGCCCTCCACCCAAAGTCAAAAAGGAAGGTAGCTCCATAGTGAAGATAAGGAAAAGAAGAGGCGAAAGTACAAGCACCTTGGGTACTCAACGAGTACTTTGGTATCTTTTGAAGAAGGACTGCCTAACCTTGACTGTAATAAATCTCTTCTCAAAAAAAATCGGAACCATTGCAATAAATTTCCATCTACACCATGGCTTTGTAATTTGGGTAATCATACATAATGGGGGACCTTATGGATTGCTTTCGACAGATCCACATAGACAACATCGATAGATAGCTCAGCATCAAAGGCTTTTCTCCAATAAAAAAACTTGCAACAAGATTGATTGTAGTTTACCTACCAGATAAAGGACCGTGAAGCTCAGGAGGATTCGGAGGGAAATTTCTCAGCCAACGAAATAATTTTTTCTGATGATTTTTCCCATAACTTTGATTGGAGTGGGCGTCAGACTTATGGGACGATCAGACTCTGTAAAGGCAGATGCAGTTTTTGGGATTGCAACAACGATGGCTTCCTTCCACAGACTGGGTACTCCACAAAAATCAATGGCGAGATTGAATAGCTCAGAGGAGGGTTCAAGTAAGTCAGCGCACTTCCTGTGGACAATAGGGGGAATACCATTGGAAAGCTCAGCCAAGAGCAAATTCAGTATTCTTTTCTTTTATCCTTTAGTATAGTAGTTCAGTGTAGTTTAGCTTGTTGTTGTTATCATGTTCATGTTCATGTTATTTAGAGATCCAAAGATATAGTTTAATTACCCAAGAGGGAATGCGAGATCACCGCAACCACTGAACCAAATCATATACGTTTATTATCTGCCAAATGGATATCTGGAAAGAGTTATAAGTGTTCAGATGTAAGAAATTATTCGAGTTCCAACGAATACAGTTGGTGGAAAGGCAGCCTCAGGTGGCGCTATTTTACAGTGGCTATGGGTGTTCTAACTACAAGGAAAATCACAATTACGAAAAACTTGAACAAATGCTTTTGGAATGTATGTCGTGGAACATGCGCCACAGAACACTTTACTAATCGCTCATTCAAACGCCCATAACTTCGTCCAGATAGTCGTTTGGCAGATAATAAACATATACTTGAAATCAGCGTTTCAGGGAGAATCCGTTGATATATAGCTTGTTTGATATGGCTAAATTAAGTTCTGACCATTTCAGGCTTAGCAGGTCTTGAAAAGTTGTAAAACGCCTAATTCAGTGGCAACGGTAGAGACTATATCCCTCGGATTCCGGCTCTGACTTTAACTACAATATGGAGCCAATGCGACCAAAAAAGGCGACCTGGCTGCCTCTAACCTTTTCTTTAACTATTACTCCTGCTTATCACATCATAAAGTCATGCTGAAATGTACTGTATTGTGTTGCTTACCTTTATATAGTATGCAGTGCCACTGATAGTTGTTTCAGTATTCGTAGTTTATCATGATTAAGGGGTGCAAACACTGGATATCTTGATGTATGACGTAGGGATCGGTCAGAGTTTGCCAGTGTTGAAAGTGTTGCCAGTGTCGAAAGTGTTGAAAGCGTTGCCGATGTTGCCGGTGTTGAAAGTGTTGGACGTGGAAATCATCAATCTTGCAGTTTCATTCTTCCTCGAACGACCTCACCGGGTGGTGAGTACGTTTGAAATGGAAATGGGAAATAAGAAATGAAAGTAAATGACTTGTGAATACAAACTTCTTTGGAAAGTAGAGGGCTTGTTTTTTCCAACATTGGAGTCCTGCTAAAGTCTGATGAAAATGCGTGTTACGTAACAAATCCGGCGCTTCTGCGATTAGTGAGCAAAAAATCTACCTATAAGAGGTCTTGCAGCGTTTTCAAATGTTGGAGACTGCCTCTTTCAAAAAGTCTTTCACTTTCCAAAAAGATCTTTCACTTTCCTTTGTATGAGGAGTTCCTGCATGCGAAAGCGTTTCCTATTTCATTTCATTGTCAACTCTCATTTCCCATTTCCATTCCAAACGTACTCACCAGTCGGCGAGAACGTTCGAGGAAGAATGAAACTGCAAGACTGATAATTTCCAGATCCAAAAGTTTCAACACCTTCAACACTTTCAACACTGGCAACACTGGCAAACTCTGACCGCCCGTAGAAGGACCACCACATTTTGTGTTGTGAAAAATGGTTTTGATGAATCCTTCATTAGTATGGCATGACTTCATCTCCTTAGACGAATATGTGACAACTTGGGCAGCATGAAATGGAGGTCTTCTGATGTTATCAAACAAATTCTTTCCTTTTTTTATAGCAACAGTTATTGACAAAACTACTTCTTTGTTGGTTCATTCATCAAAACACAAGAGGAACATCAGTATCATCAGTATATTTCACTATCATATGCGGACTTACGAAAGGGATACTGTGAGTATTGAAATAGTATGTATGAGAGAGAGAGTATTAGAATAGCAGGTAAACTCAATAAAGTATCGCAATTCAGTATCAGCAAACCATAAGTCACAGGATGTCTCCATAATTTGATAAGCAAGATAATAAGGTGTTAATTAATACCCAAAATCCGTACAATAAGTCCACCTATCAGATAAGTCCACCTATCAGATAAGTCCGCAGCAGAGCAGATAAGTCCGCTTTCTTGACAACGAAAGTCGCCCTCGCGCCGCCAAGAGTCCTGCAGATAAGTCCGCTTTCTCATGCTCAGGATAGGCGAACATATCTGCTGCGGGCTTATCTGATAGAGGATTTAGGAGGACTCATCAGCAAGAATTTTGGCGGCGCAGAGGACGACCTTTCATCGATTTTTCGTGTCAAAACTGCAGATAAGTCCGGACTTATTGTACGGATTTTAGGGCAGTCCGGTACGGACTATTAATTAATAATCATTCCATTTCTTTGGACTTCGAAAATTCGAGCGCACCTTATCTGCCAACCTTTCAGCACCATGCTTTTCATCGCCACGCCAGTTTTGTTTGACTTGATCGCTTTGAACTTTGGCCAAAAACTGACTTGCGTACGTTGGGGTCAACATCTGGTCGATAGCACCACCTTTCAGTAAACATCACTTGGCTGAGGCACCCACCCATGCTGTGTCAGCATGACATTTACACCCATCGGCACTTCATCTGCATCTGCATTTGATTATTTTACCGTTCTACTAACTTTCTTTCGCACCGGATACTCTTACAATTTCATTTTTTCAGAAGTATTTATTCCATGAGTTTCGTGAGACTATTTGAGAATTTCGAGAACGTCGATGTTGAAGAATGTAAACTTATAGGTAAGGTACTGTTATTTTCCTATACCGTCTGATCATTTGCCACTCTTAACACATTTTTGAGCTGTTCCACACCTCACTATATTTGCTGAAGTTTTATCGACAAGAATTCTTTAAAATATTTGGAATAGAAAATAGCGGATGAAGAATATTTGAAAGTATCTATTCAACATTCAAATTTAGTCACTGAAGCTACAAATATTCAGAAAATCAATTTAGAACGGACCACCAAATGAGGAAAGAATTTGAAATTTTAGGATTTATTTTTGATTTCACAAATATTTTTCAAAACTAGGATGTGGACCAGTTGCTGACGTTCAATCTTTACTAAAAAATTCAGTCTAGTTTTCTAACTTCTTAGTTCCGCGTGATATATAAATGCTTCATTTTTTGATTGCAGGTGAAGTTCCTCCATGGCTGAAAGGCACAATGGTTCGAAATGGACCGGGTATGTTCAAAATTGGCGATACTGAATATAGACACTGGTTCGATGGCATGGCATACATTCAACGGTATCACTTTGTGGATGGAAAGGTTTTGAGCACTGAAACTTTATAGATGAGAGTATCTTTCTCTTTGCAGATGTATTACTCGGCTCGATATCTGGAAAGCGATGACTATAAGGCCAACATGAGGGCCAATCGTATTATAGCTGGTTCGTTCGGAACACGGACATTCCCAGATCCATGCAAGACACTGTTTCAAAGGTATATATACAGCTTTTTGCGTCTTTTAGGCAAAAACAATTTTGATCTTTGCTGGAATTTTGCTACTGCTAAACAACTACCTGTTTGTGCCCTTCTTCCATAACTTCCCTTTCTTGATGTCTTGAAGTTTTCAAGAGCTTAAAAAATTCTTATCGCGATATCGTCGGGGAAATACATAGCCTTTATTCTAGGTGTTTCTTGAAAACTTCATTTTCTCTCAAAATGCCATTTTGCAAGGCTTTTACTGATGTTCTTCTATATCGTTCCTTTCCCCCCTTTTCAGCCCTCTTTTTGATTCTTGTCTGTCTCGGATGGACTAGATTCAAAATAGAAATCGCCAGACTTGTTGCTATTGGGCAGTTCGCCAAGGCTGAACAGTGCCAGCGTTGTAAACCACGTGCTATCGTTCGTCACATACTGTTCATCACTGTTGTTGATGTGTGGAAAGTCAGCATTTTCGGTAACCCGTAGACCATGAAAAGAAAGTTGATCAAAGCACGTAAAAGTTTCAATCGTTTGTCCAGAGATCGAGTTTGTGGGAGAAAAAGTTTTTACCCCAGGGAAGCCGACTGTGGTCTCCTTCCAATCCTTTCCCCATTTATTTCTCCAAAAAAAGATGTAGTATTAGAAACCTACACACACATAACTAAATTGTTAAAATTTAAATTCTTTGAATTTTATTTCTGCAATACAGTTTGATTTTTCGAAAAACAGCACTTATTCTTTGTCTCATCATCCATTGCAAACAAGACAACTTGTTAAACTAATACTTTCATTAGGCGCGTCATTGAATGCATAAATAAATTAATGAATACTGGATCGAGAGTGTAATCCCTATTACAGACATTTTGAATGAGAGGACCGTGTAGTGATAAGATGACCATTTCCCAATCCAATTTCCCGTGCAAACTTTTTCTTTCCGTCCCTTCGTAGTTTTTGGTAATGAATGCTATAATGAGTGTTAAGTCGCAATATACTGTAGTAAATGAGACTTTTTGAGTCTTACCACTTGTATTAGAGGCTGCACAGAAAATTCTGCGCAGAAAAATACCTTTCAGTAGAAGAATCGTGTTTTATTTGGCTATTTGACCAGAGGCAAAGTTAATCAGTTTTGGAACATTATATTGGTAGAACTTTCTACCTCTGTAGAAGAAAAAGAAAGATTGTGGAAGCAACCTATCAGTTTACAATGATAATTTACTATTATAAATGACATCTCAAATCCTAGCCTTTCTATCTGCTGCCAGACTGATACTTTCCAGGCCGCAAGACATTTCATGACCTGTACTGGATTGTTCCCCAACTAACTGCAGATCGTCTATTCTTTCTGACTTTAGACTCACATCCTTCTTTCAACCTGACAAGTCTATAGACAACTGCAGTGTGGCGTTTACCCAGCTAGGTGATGCTGTGTATGCAGTGACTGAATCGCCACTTATGGTCAAAATTGATACCGATAATTTGGATAATCTTGGCCAGGTAAAATTATTTGTACTTTGAATTGCGCCTTGACAATTAGCGGTTACTTCTAGGTAGACATTCGTAAGCATCTCAAAGTGAGTCTTCACACTTACTCAGCTCACTGTCACTCTGACGCTGATGGTAATCTCTACAATATTGGTAGCATGTTTGGAGGATCGTCCAAATACGTTTTTGCCAAGACAAACGCGCCTAAAAAAGGTAGGAAAGAGTGTCAAATTTGAGTAAATTCATCCCGGTTCTTCTAAGGAGAGACAAATGATGATTTCGAGAACACCGAATTGCTCGGTATGGTGGCAGCTACTGATTCTTGGGCACCAGCTTATTATCATTCATTCGGGCTCACTGAAAATTATATTGTGCTATTCGAGTGTCCAGAACGGCTCAATTTGAAGAAAATTATCGTGCAGTAAGTAAAATTTTAATTACTGCGTTAAAAATGACAATAATTTTGGCTGAGATAGGTATTTTCCGATTGAAATCAGTTATTGACAATTTCCCTAAAGTTTTAACGAATAATTCCGAAAAACTTAGAAAAATTACCAGGCAATGTCAAGGTAATTTAGCAGACTACAAAAATCCTGAAAAATTCTTACGACTACATTTGTGAAAAACGCCAAATTCGATATACAAAAAGAATAGTCGCTTTTTTGTCCTCAAACTTCTCCCCGCTATTTTCCTTTCTTTGTGACAATATTTAGACTTTCTTAAAAATCTACTCGTTTATTTTCATAATCTGATTGTTTAGGCTGCGTCAAGACTTGTCTGTGTCAGCGCCATTCCGTCTTCACACTCGCTTAGCCGAATAACGCGCGGCGCGTTTAGCGTCACAGCGCTGAAACTGGAACGGCGCTGACACAGCTCCGGCACGCAAGCAACTCCGCACGCTGCCTTACAGTTGCTTGCATCATCGTTGGATTATAATATTCCATTCATTGTTCCAGAAAATTCATCGGTTCCTCTTATAATGAGTGTATGTACTACGATTCTAGCCTTCAAGTAAATATAATCCTCTTCGACAGAATCAACCGAAAGAGAGTGGAAGGGAAGGTAGGATCTGGTCCTTCCGCAATTACACTGATATACTGTCATTTTAGATAACTTCTGACGCTTTCTTCACGTTCCATCATGCAAATGCATACGAAAAAGATGGTTTTATTGTAGTCGATTACTGCAAGCTTCTTAACCCAGGAAACTTTGATGACTTCATCTTGGAACATATACGAATGGGTTCACTTATATCTAAGGTGAACTCTTTTGACTGTAATCTTAATCTTTTGGAATTTAACACCATGCGAGGAATTCTGTGATTGCAGGACACAAAGGTTATTCCTTATCTCCATAGAATGATTATTCCTATCAACGTTAGCGAAGATAGTAAAGCAGGAGATGATTTATTGTCATCATGCAAATTTGCAAAAGACTGTAAAGCCATTCTCAAAGAAGATGGTAGCATCCATTGTACAGATATGAAAATGTGTGAACATTGTAAGTTGCGTTCAATCCCGTAAAGAAACAATTGGAGATTTTTCTTTTAGCTTTTGAGTTTCCTCGCTACTGTTACGATCTCAACATGAAAGAATATCGTTATGTCTATGGAGCTAATCTCGGTTTTGATTCCGAAGCTAAGCAAGGGGTGAGTAGAAGCTGTTAATTCTTATTCTGCAAGAAAAATCTTATCAGTTCAGCAATCTGAAATTCCTTCAGTTTTCATCGCCTTATAATAAGCACAGATGTTTTTTTTAATCCTTCATAAGTTTTCATCTCAAGATGGTGCAATTCAAATTTTTTCAGATTGTTAAAGTTGATCTACTAAATGGCACCAATAAAGTCTGGTACAAAGACGCGGCCGATCAACTGTGCGCTGAGCCGATACTCGTAAATAAACCAAATTACTCAAAGGAAGACGAAGGTAAGTTGAAAATTTGCGCTGAATGATTTGTGACCTTTAACATGCGCCGAGAATCAAATAAAAGCTATTTATCGAGTAATTACATAATTCCGTCAAAAAACCAGAAAAAATACCATGCTTATAGAAAATGATGTGGTAACACCCGTTGATATTATAACAAATGCTTCTGTCTATAAGAGATTTCTCGGGGAACAAGCCGCGCATGGTTCCGCTCATTGACACTTCCCTTTAGAAGAACTTTTTCCATTTCCAATGGTGGTATCTCATGTGTTACCGTTTCAGGTGTTCTACTAGTTCCTGTGATCACGACAAACGAAAATGATACACCTTACGTTGCTGTATTGGATGCAGAAAGCTTAGAGGAACAAGCCCGGTTTGTTATACCGCAGTCAAGGATTCCGCTCGGATTTCATGCTCACTATGTGCCAAAACCGAACTTGTAGTTGATAGATCTAATAAACGCTCAATCTTAATCTTGTCATCCATCTATATTAAGCAAAACTGTAACGAAAAGCTTCTGCGCCGAAAGCAAGAGCATGGACAACTTTCACTTTGCTCCACATCGATGTGTTAACAAATAATATAACGATAGCCTGCGTGATAAATATTTATTTCCAGAGCCAGAGAAATATGTTAAAGATCAGGGCACGGCACTGGTGGCTTACCAAGCAAGCTGGATATCGTTTTTGGGAGAAAATGCAAAGGGGATATCTTTCTGTGGTCCGCATGCCGTAGGCACGGTGCCGGCATTCCGGCGGCATGCTTTCCCAAAATGACACCAAAATTGGTGTTTAGATAGACAGTGAGGAGTTAGGACTATGTATGAAAACTTGTGAAAAAATTATGCGAAATGGAGGCGTGCTCAACTTTTTTCAGAGTTAGATGGCTTTCAAGCCACCTGGAAGCAACCTGAGGTGGCTTGTGAAAGGAAAGGTCATAGAATTTTCCCCCTCATAAAATTTCTTACTCATATAAATCTCACCAAAACTAAAACCCTACAAATGGTTCCAAATCGCCTCAAACCCTCAAATTCCCTCCTCCCCGCTTAGTTACAGCCCCCTGAAAATTTTGAATGGCGGCGTAAAGCTGCTCCGAGCGCGTTTTTAATGCTTTTGGCGTTTCTTTCTGTTTTGCTTTGTTTCCTCCTTTTTCATGTGTTTTCTTTTCTAATATCTCTTGGCGGATGTCGTACTTTCCCAGTGAAATCAAAGGGGACTTCGTTTTTGCTGTTTCGGGAAGCCACCTCGTATCGAGCCCTGTTGAGCCCCCCAACAAAATCGGCATATTATCATGAATGTTTGGATGTTTTAAAAGAAATGGAAGTGCCGTCTTTTTCTGGTTAATGTGCTCATTCTGGTATTTAACGAAATTTCGGATTTTATTAGAGAAAACAGAAAAGTATCGTGGGTATTACATATGCAGAAGACTTTGACTAAAAATTCCACGCTTTGCTCAGACTTGTGCGAATGTTGCGAATGTTCTGGATCGGTCTTGTGGAGCTTGTAAAAAATCATGATCTCGCTAAAGTTGTGAAAATGAGATCAGATTTGAATTATTGCAGTTCAAGTGTCTCAAAATACTCAGACAATTCGCCGGAACTTCCGCAGGGTAAGCAAAATTTGCGGCGGTTTTGCAGGATTTTGTTTACTATTGCAAAAGTGGAAGCGTTGAGGATCGAAACTTCCGCGGGATTTTCATGCCAAACTGGTTGAAAACCGGAACTTCCGCAGAAACTTCCTCAAAATCCCGCGGAAATCCCGAAAAATGCAGAGGTTCCGCAGCACTTTGGCCTGCCAGAACTTCCGCAGGACTTTGAATATGTTGTCTCGTGATGTTGCCTCGCTAACAACTAGTGCGTTATCGAACATATCAGCCGTAGCGTAGAGGATAGTAGGTGTGTCTCACAGTCAATAGAGTGTGGTTCAAATTCGCTTCGGTGTTCTCTTTTGCTGTTGTAGTTCGCATTCTTCGGAATTTCCGCAGCACCTCATTCGGAACTTCCACAGGTGACCCGGCGGAACAAGCTGCTTGCGTAAACAAAATGCTGAAAGTGTGCCTAAGCCAATGATAGCGTTGAAGTTTATCTCTTGCAGACCTTATCTTAACCTTCAGACACCTCCTTCTCCCTCAAAGATTTCACTAGGACCGCCAAATCTGTCCACTTTGCAGGGACCATATTGTTCTTCCTTGGAAAATAAGCATTGTTTCGCTTTAGTAGACCAAAGTAAGCTCTACAAGATACATAAACACCCGCACAAACTTCAAATTTTATGCTGAAAATTTGTTGTTTATCGAGAAAAAAATTTACGAATCATCAACTCCTAATCACGCATTATCTTAATCACTCAAATCCTTTTTACATCAGACATTGATATATGAAGTTGCTGTAATTTTGAGTTAAAGAGGAACAAAAATGGTCTAAAATACGTGTCGCCTTCCTACGGTTTTCATGGTGAATCTAATTCGTCTCAATAGCGCTTCTAGGAAGCCAGAAATTTATTGTTTATACTTTCAAAGTTTACAATATGCAAATTTCTGTGCGAGAGAAGCAATTGCTTTGACAGCATGCCAATTTTTTCTTGATTTCCAGCCATGAAGAACATACACCAACTGTGTGTACGTCTGATGTGGATGAGACGCCCACAACTTGCTCATGTATGCATGAGCAAGTTGCGGGGCATATAGTTTTTTTCAAATTTGAATTTAAGGAATTCAGAACTTATTAAATTTGACTTTACTTTATATGGAACAAAGTTCCGCGATGTTAGACCATTGGCGACGACGCCCAATTTTGTGTTGGTGGTGCTGTGAGACGACGCGATTTTGCACTTTTGGCATGGGAAGCATTTGTGATTATTTACGAAATCTAAGGTTGTTTTGTAATCAACTACAATCATCTTCTTCGACCGGAGTCTACGAGTTTCGAAAGTGCAAAAAACTGAAAAAAATACTGAACTGTGGAGAAGATGCTAGACTTGGAAAGGACATGACTTTGCAAAGGGTGTGGGCCACCGGTGGTCCACATCGTCGTCAACGTTTTGAACGCCGTTTGTTAAAGCTTGTTTGGGCCTATCGAATAATATTGAAACGCAATTTGAGAAGAATATGCTTACTGCGACTTTTAAGAAAACTTTTGGATATTAAATAATACACATTTAAACCCGCTAAGTTTTTGAAGCGGGATAAGAAATGAGTTATTCGAGTCTATGTTTTGAAGCGATAGAAGTTTGTTTTCAGATGATTCATCCTTTCCTTATAAGTTCATTCCAGACATAGCAATAAAGATAAGGGTGGAGTCTGATGACGCTTGTTCTTATCACGAGAAAGTCAAATCAATGAAAGTCTAGCTAAAAAGTATCACTGATATTCAAGTTTACTAGCAGAGTGCATGGGTGAATATACTTAAATTCTTCATGTTCGGAAAGTTCTTGAGGTGCAAAGTTTAGCAGCATTTAGACTGAAGTCTACAATTCCGAGAATGTTGATGATAAGCCACTGTCTGAGAAGTACTTTGCTTGTAAAAGCTACAGCCTTGCTCTTGCGCAAGAATTCTAGGTTACTTCAACGTGAATGCCCAAAGCAGGTGACTACACTAGACTGTAAAGCTTTATTTAGCTGTATAGCTTGCCTCTTTTTGATTCCCATCTCCAGCCAGAAAAAAAACACCATCTTATCTTTGCTGAAAGTCACAAGGGCCATAAATGTCCATAAATGGAAGATATCTGATTGGAAAGAAACTACTCCGCTTCCGTCGAGAGATGACTGTTTGGAAAAAAACGCAAAAACTAGACATCGGAATTCTCTAAGCGTTTTTCCATTCTTATCAGACGGATAAGAAACACGTAAACGCCCTTTATACCTGATGCAAAGAATTTGGTCTGTTCAAGAATGATAATAAAATAATTCCTGATAACGCATATCGTTTACAGTAATACTGTGCGAAAAGCTATAATACAGCAACGCTTACTTTGTAGAGGTAACATTTTTGGAAACTGAGCGCCATAACTTAAATTGTTTTTCAGTGCTAGTCATATCGAAAGTAAGATGTCAGTTTCCAAATGTGAACTCAAACAACAACGTAAACCGTTTATACGCTAGTTTTAAATGTTTAAGCAGCTATCGTCTGCTCTATTCAGGAACTTTCACCCCAAGCGGGTTTACTGGCTGTTATATCTGTAGAGGGACGTAGCATGGATTCCTGTAGCATATTGTATTAAATTGGCTAGAAAATAGTTTCGTTTTGGTATAAAACTTCTTATAACAATTCTTTTTCTTATTAATGACTCTTTGTGCGGAATTAGCTTAAAGCTTCTTTTGACACATAATCTACTATTCAGGATTGTAAGGGACATTAAGCCCCAAAACGGCTAAAGTTCAAATTTTCTATAACTGTCTAAGCTTTGTTCACGTGCTTCAATGGATGTAGAGAACAGTAAATTGAGATTTTTTTATACAGACAGGCTTTCTCCATTTAGCGAATGGCTTGAAATTGTAATCTAACACATCAAAAGTTTTGAACGTTGGCATAAGGAAGACTTGAGGTTTTTTCACTTCTTTGCGGATTTCTTTCATTAGAAAAATCTTCTTAAAGAGGATTCATACCCCAATTCTCACTGCACTTTTCAGAAATCCGCGCATGGGTCAAAAATCTGTCTGTCACACTATTTGCATTAATCTGACATCAGTTCACGTCTCATCTGATCATCCAAATGGGTTGACTGCAGCAGGTGGACAGATGGTTCAACTGTCAGTTCACTTGACATGCTTATAGTATGGAAATGTGGGCAGTCATCATTTCACCTGACATAATTTATGGGTTAAGTTCAATACACCTGAACTGACGGAGCTTTACCAGGGGCCAATGTTTTATACAGTCTTTCCAGTGGTGTACCGAGAAATCATAAATTTCGCTACCAGTGTTCTGGGGGGGGGGGGGGGGTGACCGAGCATGGGTATCGAAATTTTCGGAAGTTACTTACGTGATTTATAAACATGTGCAGAGTTCAAACTTATAATTGATAGAAAATCCTTTGAATTTTTAAAAATTCATTTTAGCCTCATAAAAAGTTTTTTCCGGGTGCGTGGCTGACGCCACGACTCCTTTATTCAGAATTTCGGGGTTATGGGCCCGTAAAAGTTTTACGAAGCATACCAAAAATTTTTTCAAAGTGTGGCTGACGCCAACCACCTTCATCAAAAAAAATTCCGCGCAAGCCCTCCGAACGGAAATTTTGGGTACGCCACTGCGTCTTTCGGAGAAGGCCACTTTGAAGGCAGTGTCTCACCAAAGTTGAGGTCGCGGGGATCTTTACATATTCTATTATAGGGACTTCTAGATAGGCCATTGCAACAAGTCCCACTCAATTTGACCCCCTCTACGCTGAGAAAAATTCGCTCAAAGTGGTACGCGGAGAGCGACTTGGTACGCGCGGACGACTCCTTCGGTCTTCCCGCTTACGCGTTTGAACATGTCCCTCCAC